GTCGAAGGAGGCCGGCGAATTAAAATTTGAGGATGTCTCGAGCGAAACGCTTGTTTTTGAAATCCCGATCGATAAATCACAGGGTGCGGGACACTTTTTCGTGTGTTGAGGATGTCTCGAGCGAAACGCTTGCTCCGCAGAGTTTGCCGAGGATGTCTCGAGCGAAACGCTTGTTTTGCAGAGCCGACCGCGACGCGGAAAAGCGCCCCGCGCGAAGGAATTTCGATGATGTCTCGACTAATTCCTTTGTTTTTGTACGATTTCCTGGAATTTTGGCAGGATGTCTCGAGCGAAATGCACGACCCCACCCTAGCACGACCATACCCCAGCACGACCACACCCCAGCACGACCAGACCCCAGCACGACCCCACCCCAGCACGACCCCACCCCAGCACGACCATACCCCAGCACGACCACACCCCAGCACGACCCGACCCCAGCACGACCCTACCCCAGCAAGACCACACCCCAGCACGACCACACCCCAGCACGACCTCACCACAGCACGACCACACCCCAGCACGACCACGCCCCAGCACGACCACACCCCAGCACGCCCCAGCACGACCACCCCCAGCACGACCACCCCCCAGCACGACCCCCCCCAGCACGACCACCCCCCAGCACGACCACACCCCAGCACGACCCCCCCAGCACGACCCTCACCCCAGCACGACAGCACGCCAGCACGACCACACCCCAGCACGACCACGCCCCAGCACGACCACGCCCCAGCACGACCACACCCCAGCACGACCACACCCCAGCACGACCACACCCCAGCACGACCACACCCCAACACGACCACACCCCACCACGATCACACCCCACCACGACCACACCCCAGCACGACCCGATCGATGAATCACAGGGTGCGGACCACCCCAGCACGACCACACCCCAGCACGACCCCACCCCAGCACGACCCCACCCCAGCACGACCACGCCCCAGCACGACCACACCCCAGCACGACCACCCCAGCACGACCACCACCCCAGCACGACCACACCCCAGCACGACCACACAGACCACACCCCAGCACGACCACACCCCAGCACGACCACACCCCAGCACGACCCCACCCCAGCACGACCACACCCAGCACGCACACCCCACCCCAGCACGCACCCCACCCTAGCAAGACCACACCCCAGCACGACCACACCCCAGCACGACCACACCACAGCACGACCACACCCCAGCACGACCACGCCCCAGCACGACCACGCCCCAGCACGACCACGCCCCAGCACAACCACCCCCCAGCACGACCACCCCCCCAGCACGACCACCCCCAGCACGACCACCCCCCAGCACGACCACACCCCAGCACGACCACTCCCCAGCACGACCACACCGCCTTGGTTGAGTGGTTGCCTGTCGTCGTGGAATGTTTCGTGGGGTGTCTCGTGGAATGTTTCGCGGGGTGTCTCGTGGAATGTTTCGTGAGGTGTCTCGCGGAATGTTTCGTGAGGTGTCTCGTGGGATGTTTCGTGAGGTGTCTCGTGGGATGTTTCGTGAGGTGTTGCCCCGTTGGGTATCGTGAAAACGTGCCCATGCTCCACATGTCTATATCCCTTTCCGGGTTCGTGGGTCCATCATGTTTCTCCTGGCGCCCCCTCCCCCCCCCCAGAATTGTTTCCTGGGAGGGGGGGGGGGTGCGCCAGGGGGGGGGAAGCACAAAAAAAAATGCGACTTGGCCACATTTGCCCCCCCCCCCCGGAAAGAAGGATTAACGCCCCCATGAGAAGGATTCACAGTGAAATCCTCGACTGAAGGGTTCCGATCGAAACCCTCCACTGAATGATTCCTACCGAAATCCTCGAATGACAATGGAATGACAATGGCAATGGCAATGACAATGGTAGTGGACATGAGAGTGGTAATGGTAGTGGTACTGGTAATGGTTACGGTAATGATAGTGGCAACGGGGTAGCGAGGCGATGACAATGGCACTGGCAACGGTAGGTGCAACGGTAATGGCAATGGCAATGGGAATGGCAATGACAATGGCAATGGAAGTGGCAATGGTAATGGCCATGGCAATGGTAATGGTAAGGGTAAAGGTAAAGGTAGAGGTAAAGGTAATGGTGATGGTAATTGTAATGGCAATGGCAGTGGTAAGGGTAATGGTAATACTGGGAAGTGGAATGGGAGTGGGGACGGGAACGGGAATGGAAATGATAGTGGTAGTGGTATGGTAGTGGCACTGGTAATGGAAATGGTAATGGTATTGGGAATGGGAATGGGAATGAGAATGGGGATTCTAATGATAATGGCAGCGGTAATGGGAATGGGAATGGGAATGGTAATGTTACTGGCAATGGTAATGGTAGCTGCGAGTGGCAATGGTAATGGCAATGGTAATGACAGAGGTAATGGTAATGGTACTGGCAATGGTATCGGTAACGGTAATGGTAATGGTAACGGGGTAGCGATTGGCAATGGCAATGGTAATGGCAATGGCATTGGCAATGGGATTGGAAATTTCAATGGCAATGACAAAGATAATGACCATGGCAATGGCAACGGCAAGGGTAAGTGCAATGGTAATGGCAATGGTAGTGGGAATGGGGCCGGGAATGGGAATGTGAATGGGAATGGGAACAGGAACGTGAATGGAGATGGTAGTGGTAGTGGTAACGGAAATGGGAACGATAAGGGTAAGGGTAAATATAAAGTTAGAGGTAAACGTAATCGTACTGGTATTGGTAATGGAAATGATAATGGTAATGGCAATGGTCATGGGAATGGCAATGGACATGGTACTGGCAATGGTAATGGTAATGGCGAATGGCAATGGCAATGGCAATGCGAATGGTAATGGTAATGACAGAGGTAATGGTATTGGTAATGGTAACGGTAACGACAGTGGTAACGGGGTAGCGACTGGCAATGGCAATGACACTGGCAACGGCAATGGTAATGGCAATGGCAATGGTCATGGCCATGGCAATGACAATGGCAATGGTAATGGTAATGGGAATGGGAATGGAAATGGGACTGGGAATGTAAATTTGAATGGGAATGGGAAGGGGAATGGCAATTGCAGTGGTAGCGGTAACGGAAATGGGAATGGTAAGGTAAAGGTGGTGGTAAAGGTAGAGGTAAAGGTAGTGGTAATGGTAATGGCAATGGCAGTTGTAATGGTAATGGTAATTGTATTGGGAATGGGAATGTGAGTCGGAATGGTAATGGTACTGGCAATGGTAGTGGTAGTGGCGAATGGCAAGGCAATGGCAATTGTAATGGTAATGGTAGTGCCGAATGGCAATGGTAATGGTAGTGGCGAATGGCAATGGCAATGGTAATGGCAATGACAGTGGTAATGGTAATTGTACTGGGAATGGTAATGGTGACTGTAACGGTAATGGTAATTGTTATGGCAATGGTAACGGGGTAGCGACTGGCAATGGCAATGTCAACGGCGATGGCAATGGTAATTGTAATGGTAATGGCAATGGCAATGGCAATGGGAATGGCAACGGCAATGGCAATGGCAATAGCAATGGCCATGGCAATGGTAATGGTAATGGTCATGGTCATGGTCATGGGGATGGGAATGGGAATAAGAATGGGAATCGTCGTGATAATTGGAACGGGAACGGGAATGGACATGGTAGTGGTAGTGGTAATGAGAATGGCAATGGCAATGGTAAAGGAAATGGTACTGGTAACGGTAATGGTAATGGCAATGGTGATGGGAATGGGAATTGTAATGATGATGGCAGCGGTAATGGTAATGGTAATGGTAATGGTAATGGTAATGGTAATGGTAATGGCAATGGCAATGGTGTTGGTAATGCTAGTGGTAATGGCGATGGTAATGGTAGAGGCTAATGGTGATGGGAATGGTAATGCTAATGGTAATGGTATCGGTAATGGTAATGGTAATGGTAACGGGGTGGCGACTGGAAATGGCAATACAATGGCAACGGCACTGGTAATGGCAAGGGCAATGGCAATGGGGATGGCAATGGCAATGGCAATGACAATTGAAATGGCCATGGTAATGGTAATGGTAAAGGTAAAGGTAAAGGTAAAGGTAAAGGTAAAGATAAGGGTAATGGTAATGTGAATGGGAATGGGGATGGGAATGGTAGTGGTAATGTTATTGGGAATGTGAATTGGAATGGGGAGGGGAATGGGAGCGGGAGAGATTGTGAGAGAGAGAGAGAGAGAAAACGAGAGAGAACATATCATAATAATGATGAGGAGCAACCTGAAAAATCGTAAACACATCGTGTGAAACCCACAGGGACTTCACAATCTCCAGGCCTCAAGTTTCCCCCCCAAGGAATTCTGAGAACCCTCCCGGGGGACGCTAACCAGGGTAGTTTTCGCCCCCCCCCCCCCCCTCGCGCGGACAGTAACCAGTTTCACTAGGAAGCAGAAAGTAGTAATGTGACAATGGAAACTGGAAGCTGGAACTGGTGCAGGGAGCAGAAAGCGTAAGCCTCGCAGCCTGATGGCCTCGCAAGGGGGCCGGCGGAAATGTATGCAGATCGTTCGTGGCTGCACTGAGCGCCTGTGCAGGCCGACGCCGCGATCGACCACAGTCTCAGGCCTCGCGTCGTGCGGTAGCATCGCTCCTCCTGCAACCAAGAAGCGTTTTACTCCACCCGCCAGTTTGGGGTTCTCGGGTTTTGAGGAAAGCCCGACCGCCAGCCCTGCACACCGCGGCCGCTAGGCCCGATTCATCCCCAGCATCCCGCGCCCGCCAGCGTACGTTCCGCGGCCGCCTGGCCACAGCAACCCCGATTATCCAGAGCAGCCCGTCTTCAGCGTTCATGCCGCGGGCGCCAGCCCCCAGTAATCCCAAGTATCCTGTCCAGCCCTAATCCAGTATCCCGAGGCGCTAGGGATGCACATCATTGTGTCCAAGACATAGATCAGCAACACGCATCGATAGCAATCACCATGATGAGACATAAGGGCCTCCAGAGGGAGTAATGTACATCACGAGCATGCGCAAAAAACTAACATGGCCAACTCTACAGCGATGTTGGCCCAAGCCATTTTCGCACCACGCCTTTGTTGGCCTGCGCTTTGGGAAGGCGGGCTTGCTCCGAGAGCCGCCTGGCGGTATGCCCTGGCCTGATCTCGCCGCCGCGCCGGCATGAGCCAGACGGTTGGCGGCGTCTGCAGGAAGTGGCAGCGTGGGGCCTGCTCGAGGGAGCAGTGCCCCCTGTTGCACGCCCTGCCCCCCCAGCCCTGCCTGTCGGAGCGGCAGGACGTCGCCAGCCAGGCCGCGCCTCTGGAGAGCAGCTCGGAGAGCTGGACACAGAGCTCCAGTAGCCGCAGCTGGGCGGACATGTCCGAGGACCTGTGGGCCACTGCTGGGCCGCTGGGCCGCTGGCAAACGCCCGAGGCCCCCGCCGCCAGGACCGCTGGGGCTGGCTCATCCCACGATGAACTTCCGTCGTTCCTGGACCGCATCGCCAATTTCCCCGAGTGGTTCCCCACCGAGGGCGGCGGCTCCCTGCCGCGCGAGTTCGGGGACGACATGGATGGACACAATCACAAGTCCAAGTCGGCCATGCGGCGGAGGCAGCGGCAGATGTCTAACAAGTGGAGTGCGATGAAGGAGCTCAACAACGCCACGTCCGCGCCAGTCTTGCGGGTACTGAATTCGATGCCGCCTCAGCTGCCACCCGTCCAGCACGCGCCGCGGACCGAGTCGGCTTCGCCTCAGAGGCCTCTGGCCCCAGCTCCGTCGCCGAGGAGGCCGCGGCGCATTGATCAAAACGACCCTGACGACTCTGGGGACGGCGGCCTTGATGTCGAGAGCACGAAAATCTCGTTGTGACATCGAAGGCATGTGCCCACACGGCGCAATTATCAGAGTCAGACGTCTGGAGATGGCAAGCATGTAAGTTGGCACTCTGATTCAATTCGGCCAGCGTCCATCGGCGGCCTTGAGAGCTCTTCCAAGTCAGAGATGGACTTGATGTTACTGCGAGACTGTCTTTATGGTCTTGAAGAGAGGGCGCGTGAGTGCCCACATGTGTCCTTATAGTTTGTTCCCCAACCATCCTGTGGTGATGGGTCCTCGTTTTGACGAGACAGCGCCCCGCGTCTCACCTGATCTCACCTCCCGCGCTCCTCCCCCTCCTCCCTCATCCCTTCCCTGCCTCTGCTCTCTCGCATGCCTATTTCGGTGCACCCCTCACACGCTTCGTGGCCCCATAGGGAGCTCCACCGAAGGTCCCAGTGGCAGGGTCCGCATGCAGTTCCACCCCCAATCCGGCGCACCTCTCACACGCTTCGTGGCCCCATAGGGTGCTCCACCAAAGGTTCCAGTGGCAGGTTCCGAATGCAGTTCTACTTATATTTCGGCGCACCTCTCACACGTTTCGTGGCCCCATGGGCAGCTCCACCGAAGGTCCCAGTGGCAGGGTCCGCATGCAGTTCCACCTCCAGTTCAGCGCACCCCTCACACGTTTCGTGGCCCCACAGGGGCTCCGCCGAAGGCCCCGGTGGCAGGGTCCGCATGCAGTTCCGCCTCCAGTTCGGCGCACCCCTCACACGTTTCGTGGCTCCATAGGGCGCTCCACCGAAGGTCCCAGTGGCAGGGTCCGCATGCAGTTCCACCCATTCCGACGCACCCCTCACACGTCTCGAGGCCCCATAGGGTGCTCCACCGAAGGTCCCAGTGGCAGGGTCCGCATGCAGTTCCACCTCCAGTTCAGCGCACCCCTCACACGTTTCGTGGCCCTACAGGGTGGTCCGCCGAAGGCCCCAGTGGCAGGGTCCGCGTGCAGTTCCACCCCCAATCGGGCACACCCCTCACACGTTTCGTGGCCCCATAGGGAGCTCCGCCCAAGGCCCCAGTGGCAGAGTCCGCATGCAGTTCCACCTCCAGTTCAGCGCACCCCTTGCACGTTTCGTGGCTCCATAGGGCGCTTCGCCTAAGGCCCCAGTGGCAGGGTCCGCATGCAGATCCACCTCCATTCCGACGTACCTCTCACACGTTTCGTGCCTCCATAGGGCGCTTCGCCTAAGGCCCCAGTGGCAGGGTCAGCATGCAGTTCCACTTATATTTCGGCGCACCCCTCACACGTTTCGTGGCCCCATAGGGCGTTCCGCCAAAGGCCTCAGTGGCAGGGTCCGCATGCAGTTCCATCCCCATTTCGGCGCAACCCTCACACGTTCTGCGGCTCCATAGGGTGCTCCGCCGACGGCCCCAGTGGCAGGGTCCGCGTGCAGTTCCACCTCCATTTCGGCGCACCCCTCACACGTTTCGTGGCCCAGTAGCAGGGTCCGCATGCAGTTCCACCTATATTTCGGCGCACCCCTCACACGTTTCGTGGCCCCACAGGGTGCTCCGCCGAAGGCCCCAGTGGCAGGGTCCGTCCGCATGCAGTTCCACCCCCAATCCGGCGCACCTCTCACACGTTTCGTGGCCCCATAGGGTGCTCCACCGAATGTCCCAGTGGCAGGGTCCGCATGCAGTTCCACTGATGTTTCGGCGCACCCCGCACACTTTTCGTGGCCCCATAGGGAGCTCCACGGAAGGCCCTAGTAGTGGCAGCGCCCACACGCGGTTCCACCTTGCATTCGGGCGCACCCCTCACACGTTCCGTGGTTTCACATGGGGCTCCACCGACGGCTCCGGTGGCAGCGTCCGCATGGGGTACCCGTGTCAATTTTGGCACACCCGTCACACGCGTCGTGACCTCAGAGACAGAGAGGTTCACCGAGGTCGATACCCACAACTGCGTTACTCACAACTGCTCATGGTTGGGTCCCTCGCCAGGAAAATTTGTGTGAACCTTACACTTTGATTGGTGTTATGCGCGCTGGGATGCGGCGGAGTTGGATCAGATGGCGGAACACGACGCCAATGACAGCGACGTGGCGGGGGAGAGGGAGGAGGACATGTGCTTAATGTCCGCTACTCCGCCCCCTGGCTACTTCTTACCATTATAGATCTGTTGTGCTTTACCTGTGTGCAGCTGTGCGATGCGGCGAGGACTGTGGCTTGCTTTAGTCACGCGCGCGCTTCCACCCAGTGAGGCCCCAAAGGCTGGCAACTACAGTCGTGTCACACACAGTGCATTTGTCCAGTCGCCCTTCCTCTTACTGCGCCTCTCCCTCTTGTTTCGAACGCTACGGCGTAGCACCATGCGCATCTCCGCCGTCCCTGGATGCACAGTTTTTGAATTTCCCGCGCCTTCGCATCTCACTCTAGCGCTTGTTGACGCCTCAAGTAGACCGTTCACGCAGGCTTTCCGTCTCTCGCAAACACTCTGGCATGCTGACTTGGAAGCCATCTCTCACAGGACTGACTGTCTACGTGGCTGGACGCTTCAATTCCGCTCATGTGGACGGCGATTGAGGTAGATCATCAGATTCAAGATTTCGTCGCAGACCGTCTCACCGTGCTGCTTACTTCTTTGGCCAAACAAATTCATTCAGGGTAATCTTTGTCTCTGACCAGTCGCGTTTCACATTCCTTTCACTTCTGCAGCACAGGGAGCACTTGGGAGAGATGTGTATTCTCTGATGTGCCCGCTTCAGTCCTGCAATCAGTCTCGAGAACGAGAGAGTACGTAGGTGTTTGTTTGGGTCATTACTTGATTGCTCGTCTGGCTCAGGCTGTAAGCTTTCACCTCCCACCTTCCTTGACTGTCACCCTGCCCTTCTCGCCCCTCTACCTTCTCTTTCCTCCATCCCCTCTTCCTCCTCCTCATCTGTCCCTCCCTCCGTAGCCATTTTGGCTCAAGTCTGGAGCAAATCGGCTCAGGTTCGAGTGTGGCAAAGGGGAGGTGCGCCCGCACCTGCGAGCCCTGAGGCCCTCAGCTCAGGATTCTTTGTGAGTTCCTGTAGGAGCACGGTATCCAACCTTCTTGTGCCAACAACAGGCACGTCTTTCGTTCAACTGAGCTCCTGGAGGAGCCCATGGGCAGGCAAAATGCAAAGAACTTCGTCCCTTGTGTGTCGTGCAGGTATAGGTGGAATTGGAAATCCAGGACCTTTTGCTTAAGGTGCAACGCCACCGCGGCGCGATGCGGCTGTGCGATGTGGCTCAAGGTGTGTGGGCCCAAGGAGGTGGCGGCACTCAGGGGGCTCAGCGGCCGCCACCGGTCCCCCCAGGCGAGTGGCAGTGGTCGCCCAAGCCGCGGTCCCTCTCTGGGCACCGCGGCTCCACGCCTCCGCCGCGGGGGGCGCCTGCAGGGAAGACTGGCTTCGCGACGGTCGACCTCGTGGCGCAACTCAAGCAGCGGCTGGCGGGCTCAGCGGCGGCGCAGGAGCTCCAGGCGCTGGAGAGCGCCATCGGGGGGCCCGCCGAAAGAGGTCAAGCCTGCGCGCCCGCCGTTGCTGGAGGCCCGGGTGTCTGCCAAAGGGGTGGCCTGCCGCCGCGCCGAGGTCTACCTGGAGCCGTGCGTCGCCAAATAGGACGAAGCCAAGGCCTGGTTCGAGGAGTGCCGCGAAGTGACAGCGCTTGCGGCGCAGTCGGCGGTGCAAGCCAACTTGGAGTGGCACGCGGAGCTGCAGCTGGAGCTCGACCGTGCGGGAGGAGCTCGGCCCCCCAGATCGGTGTCGGGCGCTTCGGCCGCAGGAGCTCAAGTCCAACATGGGCAAAGAGATTCGAGCCGCCATCCTGGCGGCCATCGGGCCCAGTGCGGAGAAGATCCCGTATCTGCGCCAGAAAGCCCGAGAGATGCGTGAACGCCTGGCCGCCAAGAGGCCTCGCCGCGAGGAGTCTGCCTCGCCTGGCGGCTCACCGGCCTCGCCAGCGGAGGGCGCGGGCGGCCCTGGGGCTGCGGCTCCCTCGCAGCATGATGGCGCTGCTCCTCCTGCTGGGCAGCCTGCTGCCGACGGCCCTGGCGGAGGCACTGCCGCTGCTGACCCAGCCGCCGCCAAAGGAGCAGCCACTCCGAGTTCGGCCAGCGGAGGAGGCCTCCCTGGCCCAAGTGCGGGCGGAGGCTTGCCCTCTCAAGAGCAGACAGCAGCCGCCGTCGCAGCCGCTCGGGGCCGAATGGCAAAGAAGTTTATTCAGCCCGTCTTTCTGGATGGGGCTACCACCGCCGGGCATTGCTGTGGCCCCGCCTGATCCACATCGGCATCGTCGCGATTTCGTGATTATGATGTCTGGTTGGGGTGCTCGGTGGACATGGAGCTTAGAGGGCCAGACTTATTTGGACATGCCGTCTTGGATGGCTTGTGTGAGCCGTGGTTGCGTGAAGTTCTCAGCCAGGCAGACAATGCTCAGCTACGCCGCGCCTCTCTGCTGAGGTGCGGCCCCGTGCTTCGAGACAGTCCTGGCGGATTGTTAGACGAGGCTGTTCGGGAAGCCTGTCTTTCGGCTTGGGCTCGAGGCAGAGGTCGGCGCAACAGGTTCATCGCCATGGTGAGGCCGCTGGCCCAGGAAGTCTGGCAGCCTTTTGCGGAGCACCACTGGTAAAGGGAGAGGGTAGCGGGCAAGAAAGGGAAGCCGCAGACATGCGGGCGGTCGGAGCCCCCCCCCTTGCCCAGCCTCCGCCTCGGGCCGTTCATGAGCGGACTGGAGCCCCCAGGCCGAGCGACCCCTCCCCTGCTGGTCTGGCCAGATTTGCGACGCGTTCGGGAGATATGGAGGCTCTTGGTCATTTGGGGCGACAAGCCGTCCTTGGGGGGCCTAGGGGCCCAGCGCCTGGGCAAACCCTAAAGGGAGAGGGTAGCGGGCAAGTGGGGGAAGCCGCAGACATGCGGGTGGTCGGAGCCTTCCCCCTTGCCCAGCCTCCGCCTCGGGCCGTTCATGAGCGGACTGCAGCCCCCAGGCCGAGCGGCCCCTCCCCTGCTGGTCTGGCCAGTTCCTCGACAGGTTCTGGAGAGTTCGAGGTTTTTGGCGGCCAGGCTGAGATCAAGACCCTTGCGTACAATTCCAATGCCTGGTCTACTGGCCTCAAGCACTTGGAAGGGTCCAAGGAGGTAAAGGGCGCGGTGGGCGACGCCGTCTTTTTTTCAGGGGCACCGATTGGAGCGCCCTCAGCTGGCGGGGCCCAAGTCCTGGGCCTATAAGGCGGGCTATCAGTCGCCCTTTGGCCCAGCGGCCAAGACGGGCATAGGCGACCGAGAGACACCAGGAGGCACCGCTATGTTGGCCAACGCGCAGTTGGGCTCGGCGGAGTTCCTGCGCACGAGGACCTCCCACAGGCTCGTGAGTCGGAGGCTTGCAGTATCCGCGCGAAACCAGATCCGCTTTGTCCTTGGTTTTACGGGCACACCACCCAAGGCCAGCAGGGGCCAATCTCGATTTGCTCGACCATGTCAGCGAGGTCGTGACCGATGCTGGCATCCCTTTTCGTCATTGCAGGTGACTGGAACATCGATGCCGAGCTTCGCCAGTCTCAGTGGGCAGGACATCTGCGAGCCAGTATTATCGGACCTCGAGGCCCGGCTTGCCATGACAGATGCTACGATTTCTTCGTGGTCAGTTCCTGCCTGGACTATTGCATTGGGCAGGCTCAGGCGATCGACGACGCCCCTGTCGGCCCCCATCAGGCTGTAGAGGTGGTTCTCAAAGGCCTTTCAGGCTCTGCCAAGGTCGGGAAGAGGATCGTTCCCTGGCCTGTTCCGCTGCCGACGCTTAAGGCAGAGAAAGAGTCAATGTTTGTTGGGGGCTCCTGGGACGGCCCTGATTTCCAGGGTCTGGACCCCCAGGTTGCCGCGAAGCCCTGGCTCGACGCGGCGGAGAGGGCCCTCGGCGAGGTCCACGGCGCCCAGGGGCGCAAGTTGCTTGGCCGATCTCGGGTTTGCCAGCTGCAGCTTGTGCCCCATCCAGGCTGCCAGGGGGCAGGAGCTTCACCCGCGCGCGAACATCCAGACGCGCAGATGCCCCCCCCCCCCCCCCCAGGCGATTGGCCACGCAGTTGATAAAAGGGCGAGGTGCCCAGAAGTTCCACCCCTGCGAGACGTTTTTGTTTTTTTCTCCATCGGCGCAAGTGGAAGACTTGCGCGAGCTGTCGATTGCTTCTCCTTTGGAAGGGCTGCAGCGGGCCGAATCTCGAGAGCGGCTTGCCGACCTGCCTCATGACGAAGTCTCCCGCGGGGTGAGGCAGGAGGTAGCTGGGGGTCGCCAGAAGTGGAAGTCTTGGGCCCAGTCGTCCGTCGTCGAGCGGGGGTCTCGGGTGGCTCACAAGTTCGTCAAAGGCCCAGCTCCTCCGCCCCTGCCTGTTTTTTGCGGGTGCTGATTATATGGGGCAGAAGGACTTGGCGGCTGCCCAGACCCCCCTGGTCGGGCTGGAGGCCCTCGACCAGACTATCAAGCAGCGGCTCCCGATTTGGAGCAATCCAGCTGGGGGGGGGGGGGGCGCTGAGTTGGCCTGTGAAGGGCGACCTCGAGGTGATCACGGTAGAGCAAGCCTTGCGTCGGCGTCTTTTTCACCATCCACCTGCTTAGGCTGGGATTATTGCTGTCCGCGTTTGCTCCTCCAGCTGCCCAGGCCCTTGGTTCAGTCTTTTGTGGGCATCCTCGACTCTTGTGAGCGGCGCCCGACGGTTGGCCCGACGCGGCTCGCCCCCGTGGTGTTCTCGGACAAACCGTCAGGGGGGGGTCCGGTAGGGCCCTTTGTTTGTGCGATTACAACCGCCGCTTTTTTGCCCTGCAAACATTGATATTCATGATGGAATATTATACAATCTTTCTGGAGAAGGATGGCGTGCGAGGCGGGAGGGGGGGAGGGGGGCATCTCGAATGTAATCTTATTATGTTCGTACTGCTTTCTTATTGCAATCCGATTGTATCTGCAGTGGAGAAGGAAAGATGGAGGAGAAGGGAGGGGGGAGGAGGGAGGAGGGGCCGCGGAAGCTTGCCAGGAAAATAGGAAAAAACAGGAAAAACAAGGAAAAACTTGTGTCTTCACATGAAAAAATAGGAAAAAGCAACGGAACCTGTGACGGTCGTTCTCTTTTTAGTTTTTCATATTTTTCCATGTGAGAACACATGTTTTTCCTTGTTTTCCTTGGTTTCTTCCTAATGGGCAGCTTCCTAGGGCTCTGCTGCGCGAAAAACATGAAAAACAAGGAAAAACCTGTGTTTCACAGAGAAAAATAGGAAAAAGACGAAACCTGTGACTGTCGGCTATTTTTCTCTGTGAAAACACAAGTTTTTCATTGTTTTTCCTGTTTTTCCTATTTTCCTCCTCCTCCGCTCTGCTGCGCGGAGGGCCCCTGGGCAGCTCGGAGGGCCAGGGCCCTCGGGGGGAGGAAGAGGAAAATAGGAAAAACATGAAAAACAATGAAAAACTGTGTTTTCACAGAGAAAAATAGGGAAAAGCCACGAAACCTGTGACTGTCGCTTTTTTTTTAGTTTTTCCTATTTTTCTCTGTGAAAACACAGGTTTTTCATTGTTTTTCATGTTTTTCCTATTTTCCTCCTCCTCCGCTCTGCTGCGCGGAGGGCCCCTGGGCAGCTCGGAGGGCCAGGGCCCTCGGGGGGAGGAGAAGGAAAATAGGAAAAACATGAAAAACAATGAAAAACCTGTGTTTTCACAGAGAAAAATAAGGAAAAGCCACGAAACCTGTGACTGTCGCTCTTTTTTTAGTTTTTCCTATTTTTCTTTGTGAAAACACAAGTTTTTCATTGTTTTTCATGTTTTTCCTATTTTCCTCCTCCTCCGCTCTGCTGCGCGGAGGGCCCTTGGGCAGCTCGGAGGGCCAGGGCCTTCGGGGGGAGGAGGAGGAAAATAGGAAAAACAGGAAAAAATGAAACACCTGTGTTTTCACAAAGAAAAATAAGAAAACCCACGAAACATGTGACTTTCGCTTTTTTTTCTTTTTTTTTTTTTTGAGTTTTCCCATTTTCCATGAGAAAACACAAGTTTTCCTTTTATTCCAATGTGTTTTTCCTATGTTCCTGCCTCCTCCACGTCGCCGAGCGGAGGGCCCCTGGGCCGCTCGGAGGGCCCTGGACATGAAACCCAAATCTGATATCTAATAACATTCTAATTCAAAATAAACGCTTATCGGGCAGATCCTAATCCCGAATGTTTCCAATTTTTAATATGTTTAATTCAAATGTAATTCGGTAGATTCCAGATCCAGATTTCCACAGAATGCGAGGGGGCCACGGAACTGCCGAAGGCCATTTCGATTCGCCAAATTAAGTTCAGGTGGCTTATGTTTTCCGTGGGGCAGCAATTCAAACTGACAGAATGCAGCGCCTTTGGCGCTTGGCTGGCGCGCTGGCGCTCCCCTTTGTCACAACCTGGGGATCCTGCCACTCCTCTACACATTTCGAGCTCGGAGCCTTCACATGTCCCAACTCGAGCTGTCGCCTCAGGAGGGCCATCGCATGGGCATGACAAGACGCGGGGGAAAGTTTGGACATCCCTTCAGGCGCTCTTCTTTTCATGTGCAGTGACGCAACCTTCCCGAAGGTGAACAAGTCCAACGTGAACTCACACCGCTGGCGAGTCGATGCGAAAACATTGGCGTTGTACGCCTTCAGCTGGAACATGACTGCTTCATTAGGAGTTGTCCCGTATTGGCACGGCAGCCCCGTTCTCATTCTGTACACGGATATGTTCTGGTAGTACAAATACTTTGCGGGCGCCATGTACCTGGAGAGGAGATCGCTGACCGTCGACTGGGCATTGCGGCCTGTGAGTGGTCTCTGGCACGACCTCTCGTTCTGGCTCATCGCTGCCATGATGTCAAGGCAATACTGTTTGTGGTTCAGGTAAGCCTTTTCCTGGTAAGCCGTTGTCTGCAAACGTTCATACGCCTTGCGAAGATCCGAGGGGCACGGTTTGAAATCCACGTGCGCCCGACCCCTGGGCTGGCTCCCGTCGAAGTAGCGCTTCGCCTTCAGACTCGGCGCAGGTCTCCCATTGAACTTCAGAACGATTTTCTTGAAGTCCCTGCTCAGCTGGTCACCCTCCTTGATGAACTTCACCAAGTCCATCCACGCGTGTAGAGGGTCACCGCCGACGCATTTTAGGTTCGGAAAGAGTTTCTGCGCCTTCTGCATGTCCCACTTCCCCGGTGTATCAAAAAGGATAATCTCCGCTTGGCGCCTTTGCGCAAGCGTTGCGTTTGCCTTGATGAAATCTGAAAGTTCTGGAACTCCTTCGCTGTACCCTGGCTTGCAAGATACTGGCACGCCGTCCGCGATCATCACGTGTACGCAGTGGAACTCAGAACGATCGGAATCGTCCTTCTTCTTTCCGTGGCTTGTCTGCCCGACCACAGCTAGCGTGCATTTATATGATGAATCGAAAGACATCACGCGGAAGCTCAACTCGTCGACGCACTTCTTTTTATATGCCGCAGAGATCTGAACCCCAGCCTTGTCAATTTGCTCCCACACTGTATTCATGGTAGGCACCGCGAAGCTCAGTTCGCTACCGTGCGATATGTAGTGCTCAATGATGCGGTCCCGAATTCGCAAGTACTTGCTCTGCGTGCGACTATCGTTGAAGGACACCACAAGGAGCAGAAACTCGGGAGTGACGCGGTAGTTGCGGGTAATCCTGATGCCCTGGTCGTCGACAGCAAAGCGGGGGCCGCGAACGTCGAGGATGACGCGAGCACGGACATTGTTCGCATTCCGCAAATTGTCGACCCCAACGGAATCACGGAGAAGCTGGGCGCTGCGTCCTAAGTAGCCTTCGCCGCCATGCTGCCTGGCACCCGTCAAAAAGGAAACGTTGATTTGTAGTTGATCCATCTTCGCCATGTTCTCGATCACCATCGCCTGGCGACCGGATGCGCCCCCAAGAACAGGTTCTTGCTGATGGTACCAGTGATGGTCTTCGAGAAATGCGAGACGCTGGAAGTGGCGATTGGGGCAGTGCGGGCATCGCCAGCGATTCTGACCGTCCTTGCACGTACTAAGGTCTGCGGCGTTTACTTCTTCTTTCAATCTGCCCATCAGGTCTGCAGAGAAAGCAATGGGCGCGCCGCCGAGCCTGTCGAACTTGTCGGTCGAGAACGACACGCCGTGCTTGGAACCCACGTTCTCGAGGTGCTGAAGTAGAGCATCAAAACTCGACTCTTGCATCCGCATTATGGCCCCGTCCAGCATGAGGGCATTGACCTCGCAACTCGGCACGTGACTGGGTAATCCGCGCACCAAGTCGTTCACGATGTCTTCTTCCACCGCGGCCAAAGCAAAGTGGATGCGAGACCCACGGGGATTCGGCCTCTCCGAGAAGTGGGACGCCAAGTACCCAAAACGGTCCATGCCCAGAACGATGTCCACGGCTGCGTGGATTTGCACTGACAAGTTCCACAAGAAAGGAATGTCGTGCGATGGCTTCCCCAAGCGAACCAACCGAATTAAGCTTTTTTTGGCAGCCTTCGGGGGCATGTCGAAGTATTCCATCATGAACGCCCGCCACTGTTTGTAGTTCTCGCTGAAACTAACGAGTATCCGGAAATCCTCCATGTCGGCAACGGCTTCTCTCAGGAGGTTGACGAGAATGGTGCAAAAGCAGTTATTTATATCTACGTCAACGAATATCATGTCGCCGCCCGCCGAAGCCCCGATCTCCGTGGTCATGGCGATGCTCTTGGCGCCTCTGCTCAAAAAAGATTGCATGGCAGGGCCTGCCGCGTACCGCCTGCCAGGTATTCCATGCTTGCGGTGGTAGGCGACCTTGAGCACCCCCCAATCGCCGCGCCTGCTGCCGCGAAGGCGGTAGGCCTCGAGAAGCTGCTTGACCTGCGCGACCTTGGTTGACACGGCCCCCGTGCCCGCGGCTTCCTCGAGGCGGGCCACGTTGATCCATTCATCCACTTCGATGACACAAACTGATTCCCCCGCCACAGCTCTGTCATCTGCTGGCTCTGGCTCGACGGACGCCAGCGGCGGGAATCTGCTCTTGCACGCCCACACATATTGCCAATTCGGAAAGCCCCCCCCCGAACACGCCGTCGTCGTACTTGCCCATGATCTCGGAGAACTTCGCGTAATTGATGCTCAGGAACCGTAGCTCCTGCGGGCGCCCCCCCCCCGGGACGCGCGCGCGCACGCGCGCACTCGCGCGCGCGCGCTCGCGCGCACTCACACACGCACGCACGCGCGAGCACGTTGCGCGCATCCTACACCACCGTACGCACAAGGCTGCAACACCCCAGGGGTAGGGAGCCGAATCGACCCCCTCACGCTTCCGCGAGCTTCCGCTGCCCTCCCGCCGTGCTTCCGCCACAGCCCCGATGGCCCCGTCGCTTGCAAACCCGTGCGCCCTCGCCCCTTCGCCCAGTGCCCCATGAGGTGACGCTCAAGACTATATCATTCCATCGCTTCGATGAACCCGATCCTTCGTGTCTTCGTTTACATCTATCAGGTGAGGCCACCGATCGATGGCGCCCATGAGATTGTCAAGTCGGGTCGCTTTTCCCTTGGTCCCAGGTCTGTACGCGCCAGGCACGGACTTGCACGTCGCGTTGACTTGGTACAGCTTCAGCGTCGCCTTGCCCGCTGCATCTCTATGATCAGCTTCGACGATCCCTCTGGCTGCATCAAGTTGCGCCCTGTCTTCGGCCTCTGTGATGAACTCAGCTGGTACCTCGAGGCCGCCGTTTGCCATCTGAGCGACGACCCTTCGGGTTTCTTCGACAATCGACTGATCTGGGTCCAAGAGCACCTGGCGGCATCGGCTGGCAGTGTATTCCTGAATGAACGGCCACAGGAAGAACTTGATGTAAGCGAGGCGGGTCTGGTCGCCCTCCAAAAACGCCATCAAGTCAGCATCTTCACGAAGCACAGCCTCGTCGACGTCGATCGAGCCAGGGTTGCTAGTGAATGCAGATTTCAATAGCACGACCCTCAAACGCCGCCAAATGGAGCGGAGCCCATGAAATCTTTTATAATCGCCGTTAATACGTGGGAATTGTCTGTTCGTCTCCCAGAACTTGGCGCACGTCAACCATCTATAGTATTGCGTGGTTTTGCCGAACAGAGGCCTGCACGCCATAAATTCCCCGGATACGAACTTTTTCCAGATCTCTTCTAATAAAGCAATGCCAGCCGCGCATTCTTGGACGGTGAGACACTTGGCGAACGCGAACTGCCCGCCCTGCTTCCTGACCTCCTGCGGTTCCTGGACGACGTCAGCTGCCAAGACGGCGTGATGCCCGCCGAACACGCTGTTCCGCAACACTGTTCTCGCCGACTTCGAATTGCCCCCGTTTCCCGTCAGCATGACCATGACAGGAGGAGTTGGGAGCCCCATCCACGCAAGCGCCTCCATGGCGAGATCCATCTCGCGGCCTGCCTCGTTGCCCGCAAAAGAAGTTGCCAGGAAGAGCGCTAGCCGTTCAACGACGCTTTGCGGTGGGGCGGGGACAATCTGTATTGGGATGCCGAAGTAACATAGGTTTTCTCTCTTCTTCGGAATCTGGACGATCCTCTCGGCAGCGCTCGAGGCGCCGTCGTCGATCTTGATGGCGCAATCCTCGAAAGCAACCGAAACGAACGGCGCCTCTGGCTTGGGCACGTGGGTCCAGGAACCGAGCAGCTCAACGAGCCTCTCAGACTGCATCTTGCCTGTAAATCGGCCGACGATGTCTCTGAGCCCCTTGCACGCGTCGTGCGCCCACGCAGCCACGCCATCTTTCTTGCCTTGTAAATCGATAGAGCATACGGGGTCCCCAGACGCCCAAGTCCCCACGTCGCTCTCTAAAAACTGGAACACGGTATCAACGTTGCGCAAGGCGTTTGCCTTCATGAGTTTTACGAGCATCATTTGTGTCATTGAAAGGACCGATTCGACTCTGTACATATGAGTCGTCGGGATCTCCTCGGACCGACCGAACGAGCCCTGCTTGTAAATGTAAACGCCGTCCGTGTGGGCGACGACGTCGGACAAGATCAGGGCGGCGATGCGGGTGACGAGGAGGTCGTTGTTCGCGTTCCAATGCGATGTCTCCGTGGCGCACATAGTCAGAAGTCTCATGCAGTAATATTCGGCGCCAGCGGGCTGGGGATCCCATGCTTGTAGCAGTTCGTCTGTTTTGGCGACGATTCTCTTCGCTGCTTCTCTCACGTCGCCCCCGTCGGGCTCGACTTCCGCCTGCAATGCTGGCCCTGGTAATCCCTGAAGGCGCCTGTACTTCGCAGGCTCCCATTTTTCCAGAATGCGTCGCCTGGCGTCGTCGGGATACAATTCCCCTGAGTCCATGCCGCCCCATCTGTCGACGTCTTCCAGATCGCCGCAACGGACGGGCCGCGGATGCCGCAGTTGCGGCTGCCCCCGATGCGGGTCGCCCAGTGAATCGGCATCCGACCTCTCTGTGCCATCGGAAAGCACTGGGGCGTCGGTGGACTCTGAGTCAGCGTCATCCGGAGCAGACGAACTCTGGTCAGCGTCGGACGCATCGCCCTCGTCGTCGAGACGCCGCAAATAAGCGCCAAACGCCTGCTGATCGAACATCATCCCTTCCGTTACCGATTCTTCCGTGCGATCAGAAGCACTCGCGGCACCGTTGGGCCACAGGCCCGCGTCGCTGGAGCAACGAGAACTCCCCCCCGAATCCCGTGGATGTGGCTCCGACTCGTCTGTGCCTTCGGAAACCTCGGAGGCGTCGGTGACGGCATACCAGGTCGCATCAGGTCCCAATGCTTCAACGAGGGCGCCAATATTCTCGTCAAACTGGAGCAACTCCTTGTCGTCAATAACATGATACCCATCCTCGAACGTTTTCACGGCTATGAAATGATAGCCGTGTACGTGCACCACGTACTTCATTGGGAACGCATCGGGGCGGGGACCTTGGACGTACTTTAATGCCTTCCCGAACGGCTCGAGGAAGCGGTTGCCGTCGCGCAGAGCATAGTAGGGCCCGTCCTCATCAATCGCAACTTTGTATCCAAGGTTTCGTAAGCTCTTTTTGAGACACACATTTGCGAACGGCGCCTTGCGCATGCTAATGGGCCCACATACAGCGTCGAGCAGTGCCACGAAGAGCAGCTGCGTGCCGATCGTGATGTGAGGCAGCCCAGTGCCCGCCGCCGCACGTCGCCCTCTTTGAGCAGCACTGGGTGCGTCACCGACGCCGACAACCTGCGGCGAGGCGTCGTCGCTCTCCTCGTACCAGTCAGCGGTTGCAGTATTGCTGGCGTCGGCAACTTCGAAGGGTGACGTCGCACGGGGGCTTTTCTTTGGGCGCCTTCTGGATATGGCGTTTACTTTGACGTGGAAGTCCCTGCCTTTGAACGCCACGAGCAGGGGCGGTTCCGTGAACTCGTCGCTCTCGCCGACGACTGCGCCCTTCATGCCGTGCATGGAATCACCTTTCCGGGGCCCAAGCAGCTGGCGCTTCTTGACGTTCCAGAATACAGTTGTCCCGACGGCGTAGCCGTGGAGCCGCGTCGAGGAAACTTCCCCGCCATCGCTGGCCTCCGCGACTGGCGAGCCGGCCGCCCGACCCCCCCGAAAGGGGCCTCTCACTTGGCGGCGCGTGGACAAGGCGTCCAGCTTGACGTGGTAGTTCTCGCCCTTGAACGATACCAACAACGAAGCCTCGTTGAAGCGGCTGCTCCCACGGACGACGGTGCCTTTCATGCCGTAGGCGGCGTCCCTGGTGGCCCAATAGACCGTCTGCCCCGCGGTGTGGCCGTGAAGCGAAGGTTCGGGGTAGAACAGATCGCCTGGGTCTGAGCGAGTCTCCCGCATATCGTTGTTCTTCACCACCTCCAGGAAGCCGTTCTGGATCTTGAACGCCAGCAGCCAGTCGGCAACGTTGCTGTCGTCGTACGCCGACATCTCAGCAAGCGGAGGAGGCGCAGTGGCGCCACGGGCTGGAGAACCGCTAGAGCTAACACCAGGAGCGTGGACCACGAGTCGCGCTTGAGACAAAACGGCCGTGGATGGAGGAGGGAGTGGGTTCCTCCTGGGTTCCTGGGTTCCTCCTGGGTTCCTGGGTTCCTCCTGGGTTCCTGGGTTCCTCCTGGGTTCCTGGGTCCTGGGTTCCTGGGTTCCTCCTGGGTTCCTGGGTTCCTCCTGGGTTCCTGGGTTCCTCCTGGGTTCCTGGGTTCCTCCTGGGTTCCTGGGTTCCTCCTGGGTTCCTGGGTTCCTCCTGGGTTCCTGGGTCCTGGGTTCCTGGGTTCCTCTTGGGTTCCTGGGTTCCTCCTGGGTTCCTTCTGGGTTCCAGGGTTCCTCCTGGGTCCCTCCTGGGTCCCTCCTGGGTTCCTGGGTTCCGTTTCCGCCCCCTCCCGAGCCCCTTGCAGGGTACCGAAAAGCGCCCGAAGACAACCGAAGAGCACCCGAAGGGCACCCGCAAGGCACCCGCAAGGCACCCGGAAGGCACCCGCAAGGCACCCGCAAGGCACCCGAAAAACCATCTCCTCAGAATTCCGAGATCGACACCGATAGTAAAAATGCACAACGTCATAATGAAAATGACATTTGTAAAATCTTGATTTTCGCAGATTGCGAGAAATGTACCGCGTTCCGCAAGCATGCTACGGAAACAACAAAAAAGTCATTTTTGAAAATTTGCGAGCGTTTCCCCCTTCCAAATGTCATATTTGTGGAAGTGTGCGGCGTTCGTCCCTGCCCCCTCCCCGTCCTCCTCCCTCCTCTCCTCCGTCCGTCCTCGCCGTCTTCCCCCCTGCCTCGCCCTCCCTCCCCCACGTCCTCCCCCCTCCTCCTTCCTCCTTCCCTCCTCAGCTTCTCCCGAGCCCCTTGCAGGGTACCGAAAGCACCCGAAGACAGCCGAACAGCACCCGAAGGGCACCCGCAAGGCACCCGCAAGGCACCCGCAAGGCACCCGAAGGCACCCGCAAGGCACCCGAAAAAACGTCTCCTCAGAATTCCGAGATCGACACCGATAGTAAAAATGCACAACGTCATAATGAAAATGACATTTGGAAAATCTTGATTTTCGCGGATTGCGAGAAATGTACCGCGTTCCGCAAGCATGCTACGGAAACAACAAAAAAGTCATTTTTTGAAAATTTGCGAGCGTTTCCCCCTTCCAAATGTCATATTTGTGGAAGTGTGCGGCGTTCGTCCCTGCCTCCTCCCCATCCTCCTCCCTCCTCTCCTCCGTCCGTTCTCGCCGTCTTCCTCTCTGCCTCGCCCTCCCTCCTCCCCGTCCTCCCCCCCTCCTCCTTCCTCCTTCCCTCCTCAGCTTCCGTCCGTGTCTCCCATCCTCCCTCCCTTCTCCCTCCCTCAAAGCAATGCAATGTGATTGCAATGCCGTGCGAGTGCAATGCAATGGAATATGATTGCCATGCAATGCAATGCAGTGCAATGCGATGCACTTCGATTGAAAGGAAGGGGAGGAGGAGGAAGATGAGTGAAGAAGAGAGGCATCGATGCCAGAGTCTTCTTCTACGACAAGAAAAGCAGGGGCACCGATATGCGCGCGCGCCCAGGAAGAACCTATGATGATACATAGCGTTCCAATCACAAGGAAATCCATCAAAAAGGCCTTGTTGTAATCATACAAACAAAGGGTCGCACGGGGGGGTCCGCCCGATAGGGTCGATGCCCCTTTGGGCTCGGGCCTGTAGCAGAATCCGCCACAGGCTGGGCTCGAAATGGGAGCGCGCGTTGGATGTTCTGCTTTTCTGGGGGATGAGTGCGAGCACAGCTTGTGACAAGAGTGCCTAGGGGCACAACGCTCTTGCAGCATATGCGCGGACGGTCCCAGGTCTTGAGACTTGCATTCTTTTTTCTGGACCTCCGCGAACTCTACGAACCTATCTCTCACCAGGGGCTGCGAGCTGCAGCAGCACACGCATAGTTCCCCATGCCGTTGCTCCGTGCATGCTGTGCAGCGCATCGAGCGCCTCGCAGAGTGACTCGGCAGGGGTCGATCAGTCGCCAACTTGTTTTGCAATGGCGCGGTGATAGCTGGCTGCTCTGGGGCCACATCATTGGCTCGCCTCTTGTTGCTAGCCTGTCTGCGCCGCGCTGCCCATGCCGAACCCGCGGCCCGGTTCAAACGTGCGATGGGTGACGCGCCCCTGCACGCCACAGGCGGCGCAGGCAATGTCAGGCGCGAGCTCGTCTCAGCTTGCACCACCGTTGTGGCGGACTTGAAAAAGAAGGGCCTGCCCATTGCTCTGGACAAGCTCGGCCTTCTGTCTTCCTCCAAGCTTCTGGCGGAGCAGGTTCTGGAAGATTGTAACTTGCCGCCAGAGGTGAGGTGCCGGGTCCACGCAGATTTGGGAGGAGATGCGACCGACGGCTCACGACATCGGGCTTCCTCCCGCCAGGACCGTTCTTGGACGCCCAGAGGGAGGTTTCAAAAGTTCTCGCCCTCAGGGAAGCGGGGGCGTCCGTCGGGAACGTTTTCAGGGCGGGGGTCTCGGCCAAGGCGCCGTGGGGGGCCAACGTCCAAGGGCTCCCCACTGGCAAGCTCAGGAGCCTCAGGGTCTCTGCGCTCCGCGCCGAGGGCCGTTTGCCGAGGGGCTGCTCGCTCGAGCTAACCTCGATGTGCTCTCGAGGGGGTTGGTCTCGCGACCCGCTTGTGGCGCTGACGGCCGATGCGATCCGCGCGCGCGCATCCTCCACGACGGCCAGCTGACCGACCCTGTTGTCTCGGCTCTTTTTATTGGGGCCGTTGCCACGGCCGAGAAACCCAGGCCCTGGGCCCGAGTGCAAGATCCAGCGGGCGCCCTCGTCCTCACTATAAGCCGGTTTGGTTTTAAGTTTCTAGACCCTTGGAGGGTCGTCGAAGCCATTGGAGAGACATGGAATCTCCGCGACCTCACGCCTGCTTTTATTGCCCGCAGGGCCAAGCTTGCTGCCAAGCGTCTCTCGGACGCGGCAGGATTGGCCAAGATGGGCGGGGGGAGGTCCTGGATTGGGGATATCTTCTGGCGCCCTCTCAATGAGCTGTTGCACCTCAAGGCCGCTGAAGACGATTCGGGGGAGGTGGCGGTTGGGATGGGTGGTGCTTGGGGTTTCCGAGAGCAGCGAACCTTGAGGGGAATGGTCATAGGGTCGCACTGGCGCCAGCATGGACTGCGTCAAAACGACCAGGACCTATCATATCAGTGCCTGTTCTGTGGAGAACTAAGCACCCCGTTCCACAGGCACTTCACGTGGCCAGCCAAAGACGCGTGGCGCCGCGATAATCTCCCTGCTGAATTACAAGCCTCTGCTCTTCGTTTGACTTTTTGCCCCGTGGGCCTCCAGGAACGTTTCGCTAGAGGCGCCCTCCCTGATCCCTGCCAGCTCCACTCGCGTAGGCCGTGGGATCCGACGTGGGAGTTCAGGGTTGAAAGGGCAGGGTGCGCCGCTCATGCTCCAAGGGGGGCGCGTTTTTTTTGCGACGGCTTTGGCATGGGCGGCCTTTTTCCTTCGCTTAGAGCTGCGGGCTGGGGGGGGGGGGGTGCTGTCTGCGACCGCGAGCGTCGCTGGGTGTCTGGGTGGTTCGGTTCCGTCCCGCCCACGATGTGCCCAGATCAAGTAGCCAGAGATGGTGAAGAATATGCTGTGTTTGTGGCCGCTCGTTTCCTGGGCGGCACCTACACCCTCTATTCGGATTGCAAGGGCGCGCCCCAGTGTGTAGCAGATCCGCGGCTCGCGTGTCGCGCGAGCAATGTCAGGGCGCATGTGCGGAGTCAGACCTTTGCCCAGGGCTCACAAGGCGACATTTAGTTGAACCAAATGGTTGCTCACCCGTCGGAGGTCGATGTTCAAGAGGGGCGGATCTCTGCTTTCGAACGAACGAACGAACGGGCAGCTCGGAAGCGGACCGCTTGGCCAAAGCTGGAGCCACCCTCAGCAGGCATGACCCCTCGGAGGTACTGGCAGCAACGGGCATGCTTTTTGTGGCGCGCCTGCTTGCCAGGTTTATCATGCGCGCTGAAGTCTTTTATTCAGAAGAGGGCCGATGCGACAACATCGGGGCCCAAGGTGTGAAAGGATCCCGTTTTGCACGCTCAACTCCATTCCTCACTCGCCCTTTTGCCTGCCTTATCGGCTCAGGTACTGGGCGAGACCCCAGGACGCTGGTCGCACAGGAGGAAAATATCCATATATTTCTCTCCTTCCTCTACCTACGGATCAGGTGTTCTGCACCTGTGTACTCTAACCTCATGTGCAGGCTATCAGCCCTTAAAGCTCAACGTTCACCGAACCCCGCGCCGCGGTCTCGCCCGCGGCTGCGATGGATCCACCACGGCGGCTCCGCCGCAAGGGGTCCGTCGCGGCTCCGCGTGCGAGCTCTCCGACGGCGCGTGGGCTCAGTGGCGCTATTGGGAGCCTTGGAGGTGACCGCGTGGGCGTCCCCGATACCCCCCCCCCCCCCCAGCTCCGACGGCCCCGAGGCGCGCCTCGCGGCAGTACTTCGCCGCATCGATGCCCACGGGGGGACAGGGGGGGATAGGAACAGGCGTCGGAGGGGTTAGTCCCAACACGCCCAGCTTAGATCATATCTCTCCTCTTCCTAGGTCGGGAGCAATCCCTACTGCGTCGGGCGCAAGCCCCACTGGTCTCGATACTCCTGGGGGGGTCCGCGCACGCCGCCGTTGGAGCAGTGGCGCTGGCCCAGCCAGCCCAGCCACCGTTCCCGCGTCGGCGCACGCGGCAGCATTCGAGGGGCTCGGAAGACCAGTGGCGGCACAGCCGCCGACGCAGAACCCCAAGGTATCATCATCTCATCAGACACCGCACACACACACACACGGACCTAGCCGCAGCTCGTCTCAGCGCACCCGTCGCGAGGCCGCAGGCCCCTGCGACGAGCGAAGGTCGAGCTCGCGTGCGGCCTCTCAGAGGCCACGCACTTCTCGCGAGAGAGTGCC